AGGAATGGTACTATTTCCACTTCCTCCTTGCATTAGTGAGAAGGGTAGACAGTGCAACTGGTTCTTCTCTCACCAGTGTGGTTTTTCTAAAGGCTGGTTGGATTTATGTGTAAGATCATCTCTCTCACAACTCATCTTTTCAAGCAGGCCTTTTGCTGATGCTCATTTCTCTGTCTCTGTCCTAGGATTCTCCACTGCCTGCTCACCCTTTGAAAGCCGTTCCAATTGCAGTGGCTGATGAAGGCGAATCTGAGTCAGAGGATGATGATTTGAAACCAAGAGGTAACTCTGCATTAAGTTGATGAAAGGGCTGTGAGGGTAACTCTGCAATCTGTGGGACCTGCACTGAGAGGTTCCTAGGAGCAGAGTGTGGAGACTGCCTAGAAAGAGCTGAATTCCCTCTCCTTTGGGGAGGAATGTAGAAAGCAGCACTTCTGGAAAGTGTTTTATACCTCTCTTGTTTGTGCTTTAGGCCTTACTGGAATGAAAAATCTTGGGAACTCCTGCTACATGAATGCAGCACTTCAGGCTCTCTCTAACTGGTAGGCATTAGGGCCTTTCAGTAAAGTCTTTACTAGACTTCACTAAATATCCAAAGTGGCACCTCTGAGATCTGAGCTCTTCATGAGTCTTGCAAAGAGAAATCAGCCAGGCTAGATGCTGAAAAAAATAGTGTTTGTTTAGGGCAACAGAAGTTTTACAGTAGGAAACTGAGTGAATAGCCAACCTGTAGCTTTAGATGAGTGCTGGAAGTGAAACTTCATCATTTCTATTGAGACAGAAGAGTATTTATCGCACTGGAAGGCCTGTCACATTTCTTTATTCTCACCAGTGACATAATCCGAACAACCTATAACCTAAAATATTCTCTGGCCATCCTGCTGATAACTAATTCCAGAATCTCTTGTCTGTACTGGGAACAGATTTGGATCAGCCTTTTTCATTTGTTTCAAGTTAGGAGTCAAGCCTGAACCTGGAATCACTTATTCCCTTGATTTAAAAAAGCTTGCTTTTGAAAAGGCATGCATTTAAGTTTTGAGAAACCCTTCAGTAGAAGCAGAGGAGAAATTTCTATGCACTGAATTCTTCTCTTTTCTCCTTGCAGCCCACCTCTCACACAGTTTTTTCTGGAATGTGGTGGACTGGTCCGTACAGATAAGAAACCAGCACTGTGCAAAAGTTACCAGAAGTTGGTGTCTGAGGTTTGGCATAAGAAACGGTGAGCGGTCACTGCCTAATCTCATCTGGACAGGTTTCGTGCTTATGTTAGTTTTGAAGTCTGGCATCATCAGCAAAGAGGAAATTTGATCTTCAGGCAGAAGTGCATCATCCAAGGCAGTCAAACCCAGCGTAGATGGGTATGCAAGGATTCCCCCACATCTAGGAGATCCCATAACCTGTTGCCCATGATAAAATGGGCATATTGATGACAGTGATCAAAATAATACATTCTTGATGCTATAACATTAAAAAGGAAGAGGTTTTTTTTAAAATACAGCTTTCCTGTTGGCAATGAAGTAAAAATGGTGGAATAAGGGAATACTCTTATCCATTTCTGAGTAGTTTGCCTGGACTGACCAGCACTTGCAGTGCTCTTGAATAGCACAGAGGATGATGATTTGGATGGGAAAAGGGATACAGAGATTTTTACCAAAGAAAGTGGAGAATGCAGGTGATGTTTTGGGAAATATTTGTTATTGGTTCAAATTCTAGAGCAGTTCAAAGCACACTGTAAAATAACACAGCTCTGCTAAAATCTGAAGATGTTTGCTCTGTGCAATCAATTGGAAAAAAGTCAAACTAGAGTTTAAATGGCATTGCATGTTTGTTTCATGTTGTTAAGAAAGGATAGGTAAGATACAGAGCAAAAGTCAGCTGTGTCTTTCTGCAAGAGAAGACTGGAGACTTTGAAGCAATATGTTGTCATTTTAATATTGGTTTTGATTTAACTCATTTACTGTGTTGCTAGTCCACCCAAATTTTGAGACAGACATGATGCTGCAGAATCAAAAGAAATTAATGGCAAAACCCTGCTCTGGAAAGAATCACTTGAGACAACTCAAAGTGTGGACCCAGCTTTAAGTTACATGTGCTCCAGGGAGCAGGCTCTCTGTAAGGACAGACTGAAATGACTGTGAGATGTTTTCTGTCTCTTAATTTGTATGTCATACAGCTAATAGAGAACCATATGCCCAGGCTTTGCAGGTGCATAATTATCTTTTGTCCTCTTTTAACTAGTTACCACACCCTGTTCTGTGGCTTATTAGACAAACTGGCTCCAGGCCTGATAAGCAGACTAATTTCTTTTTCTGTTTTATCCCCCATATCTAACCAGCCCCAGTTACGTTGTTCCAAGCAGCCTGTCCCATGGAATTAAACTGGTCAACCCCATGTTCCGAGGCTATGCACAGCAGGTGAGGCCCCAACCCAAACATGCTGTTATTCTACAGATGGTGGGATTTTTCTTCCTGCAGTGGTGGTTGTTACTAAAAAGTTAAAGATATGAATGTTCTATATTCTTTTTTCTGGGGAATTACAGCAAAGTAAATCTTATTTAAAGATAGTATCTTTTTTTCTTTGAAGTTTTTATCAGTGTATCTCTTGTGTTTATTCTTTAGAATAAGATGTAAATGTCAAACTATGTTTGATTAGGAAATTTACAAAAGAAGTGACAGTACATCTAAACTGTGATACTGACAGGAAGTCAAAAGAGAGGATAAAAATAACGATTAATGAAGCAACTTCTATATTTATCTTTGATGTGAAGTACATTGGATTGGAAAACTCTCAGCTGTAAAGAGATAAAGCTGAAAAGAAGACAGGGCAGGCTAAATGCCAAACTTCCATAAAATAACAGAAACATCATAATTAACTTTCTGGAGTTGTCAAAATACCAAGTAGCTTTCCAGCAGGTCCTTTGAAGCCAATGTATCAGCTCTTTTACCAGGAATTACGAACGTAGGAGCTTGCACCTTGACTGTATAGTCTGTGGTTTCTGGTTCCATTCCCTATTTATTAAAGATTTTAATCTTCCCTATTTAAGAGAGGGATTGCCATGGGCAGAAATCAGTGTTAATGACATTTGTTTTGTGGGTAAAAGTCTGTTCTTTAAGGCCTGCTGTCTTCATTAGGTTTCTCCTTGTCTCTCGCCTCTTATCAGTGGTAAACCCTTGATGAATGAGCTCATGGTTTGCATGCTGCAGCTGCTCTCTTGCTTTTCGGTGTCTTTCAACTGAAGATGTTCAGATAAAAATTGGGGCTTTTATCATTTAGGAGTTAAAAATATTTATGTAGCAGACATGTACTTCTTGGTACATCTCCACAGTACTCTATGCTTTAGTGGGGTCTCCTTGTGTTGCAGAGGAGGCTAACCTTTGTGGGCAGCATTGAAAGAGGCTGTGAATGGAGCTGTCTCCTCTTTTGCCCTCTCAGTTGCCCCGTTTCTGGATGGATATTAACATGGAATTACTCCTGGTTTTCAGGACACTCAGGAGTTCCTGCGGTGCCTGATGGATCAGCTTCACGAAGAACTGAAGGAACCAATTGTTGCAGAGACGAGGGATTTGGATACCAGTGACCAGGATGACAAGCGAGAGGGTGACCGAAGTCCTTCGGAGGATGAGTTCCTCTCCTGTGACTCAAGCAGTGACAGGGGTGAAGGGGATGGCCAAAGCCGGACCACAGGGAGTGTGGGGAGCAGCTCCCTGGCAGAGACAGAGTTGTTGATCCAGGATGAAGCGGGGAGAGGGATCTCCGAGAAAGAGAAGATGAAGGACAGAAAGTTCTCCTGTGGCCATCGGCGCAGCAACTCCGAGCAGGTGGATGAAGATGCAGATGTCGATACTACTATGATGCCAGTTGATGGTAGAGCCTCACCTGAGATGCTGCCAGCTCCCTGTACTGCCAGCCCGTGTAGGACACCAGGTATAAACCTCTTCCAGTCGTGTTATTTGTGAGAAGACGCGTTATCATCCTGCCAGGGACAATGTTGTAGTGCAGTGGCAAACAACGTGTAATGTTCCTTCTGTGGGTTTCAAGAAATTTTGCATCCAAGATTTTCCTCACTGTCCCTGGCAGGAGTTCTGCCTTTTTGCAAAATTGCTTCTGTAAGGAAACGTAAGACACGAGCCAGGCTTAGCCAGGCTGGAGTGCTGTGGAGCTGTGAAAAGACTGTGTCCTGACGGCAGCGATGGCTGCTCCTGCCAACCCTGCAGACATGGTGTTTATGCCTTTCCTAAGTTAAGAAAAGGGGTTTGTATGTGTACATTGCTTTATCTGACAGGCTGGCCTGGGGAAATATTAGCTGTAGGAAAGGTGTGGAAGAGGTATTTGTTAATGTTGGACTGTGGACTTTGTGGAGAGAAAAGGGAGAGGCGCAGTTTGTACATTTCTGTGTCTTAGGGAAAAGAAAAGAGCAGCAACTAAGACGTAGGTGTGGAGTCACCTCCAACTGAAAATATCCGATCTTTCAACACTTTTTTATGTAAGAAAGAGTCTTACTCTGCCATCTGGCACTGAAGACAGCAATGCTGTTTATGTGGATTAGGGATAGAGGAGCAAGCTGTAAAACCTAATTAGTCATAAGCATGGAAGGAATGACTGGTTGGGGTTTTTTTCATACGTAATTATTAGCTGTTCAGTGTGGCTCTGTATGCGCTATTATCCCCGCACTGAGGGAGCGGTATCTGCCAACCTGTGCAAGCAGGACAGTTAACAGACACTGAACTGGGTCATACTGGAAAGGATTCAGTGGTGGATGCAGAGCTGGGCTGACACTGACTGCAGCAGGGTCGCCTTTCATAACTGGAGTTTTCACCTCTGCTTTTCTCCCTCCCCATTTTCCCCAAACAGAACCTGACAATGATGCTTACGTGCGCTGCTCCTCACGCCCCTGCAGTCCAGTCCATCATGAAATGCACTCCAAGCTCTCGAGCAGTCCTCCTCGCTCCAGTCCTGCCAGGCTTGGACCTTCCTACGTACTCAAGAAAGGTAGAGCATAGAGTGTATTCTGGGAGGCAAAGGGGGGAGTGTGTAGAGGAGGAGGGGTTCACTTAATGAAGAGAGAAGGAATCCATCATGATTCTTACTAATGGTTGTAAGAAGTGCTGATTCCCCTGGACATCAGTGCTTTCTAAGCAAAGACTACAGTAAAACTGCAGGTAAAGTCCAACTCTGGGCTCAACAGATGTTCTGGTATGCTCTTAGATTGGAGCCTGAAGTGATTTCCATGTCTGCATCTGCATGCTGTGTTTGTTATTATTAAAATGGCTATGAAGTCCCAGGTACAAACTGTGTCCCTTTAGGGGAGCGTGGAGATGTGCAAACGTTTGTCTGCCAGACTTGACTTTCATAGCACATGGGCCAAGGAACTGTAAGGTGCTGTTACTGAGGGAGCACTTCCTGCCTCTCGGACTTTTTGGACTCACAATAATAGAATTAAGGCTGCAGATGTCAGCCCAGTGCTGGGAACATTGTTAGGCTTCAGAGTAGAGCGTGGCTTCTGTTGTTATCAAACTGGTCTCTTCATCCCAAGCAAATTGCAAATCGAAATCCCTCAGCACTGCGTAGTCTGCAAACACAATGGCATGTGCTTGTCCCGCTGTCCCTGCAGCTGCTCACTGGAGGCATTCTTGCCTCAGCTGTGTCCCAGCCCCTTGGCTGAGGTCAGCACAGCTACAGATGTCCCAGTTGGATAAAAAGCACTCTGTCTCTTTGCACGTGTTTGTGGGGAAGAGGGTTTGTTATTAAACAAAACTGTGTGTTTGGCCAGTCCCTGCTGTGGAGAGTCCTCTGCAGTGCAGGACACCTGGGGAACACGTGGTAAATGTCAGAGGGGAAAGAAAACCCACAAAGTACGCAGGAGAGGAAGTCAAGTGTAAAGCTTAGAGCAGAATGTTACAAGACCTCAGGAAAGCAGAGGCTCTCTGCAGCAGGGCCAGGCTTCTAAACCAAGTAAGACAATTTCTGCCTGTTGACAGCTGGCACGTTTGTGTTGGTTCAGTTGGCTGCCTCCCCCTTTCTTGTACCACACAAAGCAGCAGCCTTCTTCATTTTACAGCAGGCTCCTCTGCCTCACTGGCATGCAATTGGCGTCTGAAGGTCCACGACAGCGCCTGTCCTGTGTTCTTGTATGGCTGCGTGACTCTACTGAGACAGGAGACTGGGAAGGAGTTGCTACATGATGGGGCTTCCTTGTCTGTCTTTCAGCCCAGATGCAGGCCTCTGGGAAAAAGAAGAAAGAGCTTCGTTACCGCAGTGTGATTTCTGACATCTTCGACGGCTCCATTCTCAGCCTGGTGCAGTGCCTCACCTGCGACAGAGTGAGTCTCCTGGTAGCTGTCAGTCAAAGAGCATGGTCTCCTAGCTTGTAGATCTCTGAGGTGCTGCTCTTATTCACTGTGGGACGCAGCAGGCCTGGTAAAATGATGATAGGTGGATGATGGGGTAGGTGTGAGAAACCTGCCATGCCAAGAAGTCGTATTTCTCTGTAGGGGTCTCTTTGCTTATCCGTGTTACTCAGGTGGCCTAGCAATATCACATTCACGTTATAAAACTGATTCCAGTGCTACAAAAACCATGACAAGAGTCATCCTCTTGACAGCAGTGAAGAATAATTAGCCAGAGCAAGTTGCTTTTACTGTCAGCTCAGGTTTCTAGCTTAGACAAATTCCAAGCAGTGAAAAAGGTGATGAAGGTCAGGTCCCAGCTCCATTACATGCACAGGAAACCCAGACCTCTCCCTCTTGGATATTTCCAGGTTTCTACAACAGTGGAGACGTTCCAGGACCTGTCACTCCCAATCCCAGGGAAGGAGGACTTGGCCAAGCTGCACTCTGCCATCTACCAAAATGTGCCAGCTAAGACAGGGACATGTGGGGACAACTATGCCTCCCAAGGCTGGATTGCTTTCATCATGGAGTATATCCGGAGGTGTGTTCCCTATGCAGGACCTCTTCTTCCTGGAGTTTGTCCTGCAGTGCTGGAAGGCAGCTGTCCCTAACCAGTGGTGTTCACAGCAGCATGTCAATTGTAACCACATTCCTTGGACAACAGTATGTGGTACCTCATGGGTCTTGGAGCCTTTTCATGTAAACCAGTTCCTACTGTTCCTCTAGTTCTGTCAGACACCCAAGATCTCTTGTGCAGCTGATAGTCCCTCATTTACTTCAGCCTTTAGCTCAGTCTTGTCCTCCAGAGCAAATTAATTCCTGGTGTAGTTTTCCAAATAATTACCAGTTTGAGCAATCACAGTAGGAACATCAGCTGAGAAAAATCATGCTGTCCCTGCTCCTCTGGGATGTGTGATGAGCTTAGGATTTACAGCTAGAAGGAAACCCATCATCATCCATTTGGGGTTTTGTACACCAAAGTGTCCAGTTATTTTGTGTACAGCCCTTTCTCTTAATCCCCTCTCTTCTGCAGATTTGTGGTGTCCTGTATCCCTAGCTGGTTTTGGGGTCCTGTTGTGACACTGGAGGATTGCCTTGCTGCCTTTTTTGCAGCAGATGAATTGAAGGGTGAGTTGTCTTTAGTGGGGTCTGACAGCATGAAACAAAACCACATGGAGGAGTGTTTCACATGCATATTGGAGCCGGATTAAATCTGGAAATCCTGCTTCAGTATTTCACTTAGAGACTGGCAGTACCACAAGCTGACAGTTCAGTATCTCTGAGCAGAAGTGAGTCTTTCCACTTCAGGGGGGGGAAATCCAGGTGAGAGTGTCCTCAGTGAGGAGCAGATTGGTTGTGAGTGCTGTGCCTCCTTAGCTGCTTTAGTTTCTTCACTTTCTCCATTGACTTCTTAAGCTCTAGGGGACTCAGTTTCCTGTATTCACTTGTTTTGGTGGGCAGTTGCACATGTTTCTAGTGCTAATTGACTGCATTCTCTTCTTGCCTGCACTTATTGAGAGGAGTGTTTGTTTTGAGCTCTTCTGACCCTGGCTTCCCCAAGAGGTTGCTCACCTTGGTTTCTCTGCACTGGATGGAGGTGTAGCTGTATCAGCATTGTGTGCTCTGAGTAACAGCGTGATGGTTTCTTCTCTCTGTTTACAGGGGACAACATGTACAGTTGTGAACGGTGTAAAAAGTAAGTTTGCTTCATCTGTATCGTGTTGTATTTCTGGAACTTTATTTCTCTGTATTGCTGTCAAATGTTTTGCTGTGCCCTCTGCCTGGATATTTCTCCTGCTGAGTGACATGTAAAATCTGCCTGGCCTTATCCTAGAGTTTAGGTCTTGAGAGGTCACTGATGGCAGATAGGGAAAGTGCCAGTTTTGGGGGGAAAAGAAAGGAAGGAGGCTGTGAACAGGGGTGTGGCTTGGCAGTAATGGAGCTGTTGTCTTGGACAGAAGAGGCACGACAAACTGCTCATGCCATGCCTCATTTAGGAAGGATGCTGCAAAGAGCCTGAATTTGTTGCTGCTGGAATTGAGGATTTGTCTTGGATTTCAAAGCGAGCCAGACCCAGCCTTGCCTTTTGGCATCCCTTTGCTTTAGAGATTTCTCACTTAGTTTCTTTTTCTCCCTCAGACTGCGGAATGGAGTAAAGTATTGCAAAGTCCTGCGGCTACCAGAGGTGAGTAAAAGCACCTTGCTTCCTAGTTTTCTTCTAGCAGCCACTGAGGAGGTAAGGAAGTAGAACAGAAATAGCAGTTTGTTTTGGTGGCAAAGTCCTGTATGTAGACCAGAAGAGACTTCCCCATTCTAAGCTGATGAGCCAGCCAGATTCATGACTAACAGGCAAAGAGCTCTTGCAGAGATGGGATGCAGAGATGTGCTGTTTTATCATAGAATCATTAAGGCTGGAAAAGACCTCCAAGATCATCAAGTCCAGCCATCAACCCAGCACCACCATACCCACTAAACCATGTCCTGAAGTGCCATGTCTACAAGTTTTTTGAATACCCATGGCAAAACTGTGCTTTGTTCTTCTCTGTCCTTGGTCTTTTAGATTCTTTGCATCCACTTGAAACGGTTCCGGCACGAGGTGATGTATTCCTTCAAGATCAACAGTCATGTCTCCTTCCCCTTGGAAGGGCTGGATCTGCGACCTTTCCTAGCCAAGGAGTGTGTCTCCCAGATCACCACCTATGATCTCCTGTCAGTCATCTGTCACCATGGCACAGCAGGCAGTAAGTCCTTCTTCTGTGAGTACAGGAATGAGATGAGGATGAGCAAGGCAGAAGCATGTCCAGGACCAGCCAGCACCTCTGAAGTGCAGTGAAGTGAAGTGCAGTGTAAGGTCTCTATTCCCAGGCTTGCTCAGCCTCTGCCCTTTGAAAAGGGAACCCAGCAGCTTCTGACAGATCCCCGGCAGCTATTTCAGCCTCACCACTGGGTTGGCTCAAACCCTTTCCCCGTGGTCAGCCCCCCTGAGAGGCCCTTTCCAAGGAAGGCAAATTAGGGTGACGGTGCCAGACTCCCCTGTTGCTGCAAAGCTTGTCTGAACCGGAATTATGCCTTTTTTGGCTCTCTCTCCATTCTCTGCCAGCAGCTAATCCTGTTTGTGCTGCTGACGTTATCCCTGGCCTGAATTCTGTCTGCAACAGTGCTGTGTTTTCTCTGTTACAGGTGGGCATTACATTGCCTACTGCCAGAACGTGATCAATGGCCAGTGGTACGAGTTTGATGACCAGTATGTCACTGAAGTCCACGAGACCGTGGTACAGAACGCAGAAGCCTATGTCTTGTTCTACAGGTGAGCTGTGCCCTGGACACAGCAGTCCCTTGCTGGTTGCAGAATACCTGGAAATGCTTTTGGAAAACTAAGTGTTCAGGACTCACTAATTTTGTTTTCCTTTCCCCACTTAAGGAAAAGCAGTGAAGAGGCTGTGCGAGAGCGTCAGAAAGTTGTGTCCCTTGCCAGCATGAAGGAGCACAGTTTACTGCAGTTCTACATCTCTCGAGAGTGGCTCAATAAATTCAACACCTTTGCTGAGCCAGGTCCCATCACCAATCACACCTTTCTGTGCTCTCATGGAGGTAAGGCAGAGCTGCTGGACCTGAGTAGCAACTCTCAGCTACACCTTTATGCTTCAGAAAAAAAGCTCCTGGTACAGGGTACGCTGCAGTAGGATCCGCTTCTGTGGCAGAAACTCCAGCCTGCTCAGGGAGGGATGAGACAGTGACCCCATTGTCCTGCTGACCAGAGGTCTGGAGGGATGTGTAATGCTGGGGAACAACAGTTTTCAGTTCTCTGTTTGTTTTTAAAAACAAACCTGTAGAAAGCAGATAAGGCAGCATCTATCTGTGACCCTGTCAGCAAGGTTGGCTTTCAGTGTTTGTTTGGAGAATGGAGCAGACGCTACTGGAGAGAGCTGATGCCATGTTTTACTGCTCCACTGCTTCATCTGTCATGGTGGGGAGTCCTCGTGTTTATAAATCACCAATTGGAAATAAAATACTTGATTAGAAATTGAGGCTGTGAATTGAGAAACCTCCACAATTAATGAACTCTTGATTGACTTCCATTAGCAGAGGAAGCAGATTCTGGAACCAGGGAGTTTTCAGCAAGGAAGATTTGCCTTTTTTCATTAGTGTCTCCACCCAGCACTAATGAGTTCCCTGGTTAACTCTCCCTTTCCTCCACAGGGATCCCCCCTAATAAATACCACTACATCGATGACCTGGTTGTGATTTTGCCCCAGAACGTGTGGGAGTATCTCTACAACAGGTGAATATGGCCACTTCATTCTTCCTCCCAGTAAGTTTTGGTTTTTGTTTCACACCTTGGGCAGTGACCAAGACATAATCCCTTCCCAGGGAAAGGTAGGCAGTACTTGGTGTGGACTGGAAAAGGCTTGTATCTGGGGGAGCCTCCTAAACCAAAATGAACTCTACCAATGCATTGTCCCAGAGCGATGTTGTGACCCTCACTGTGTTGAGTGCTCTCCACTCAGAACGCGGCTGCAGTTGCTCCTTCTTCACCAGCATCTGGAGTAATATCAAAATCCATCTCTGTAGAACTCAGGGCTGGGGAGACATTTCCATTCTCCTGCAGTTCTCCATTCCCCTCCCTCTCTTCCTGTGCTCAGGTTTGGGGGTGGCCCTGCTGTGAACCATCTGTACGTCTGCTCCATTTGCCAAGTGGAGATTGAAGCGCTTGCCAAACGCAGGAGGATTGAAATCGACACCTTCATCAAGGTTCGTATGGGAAGCAGCTGGAAGTAATGGCAAAGGGGGAAGGTGGGAAATGGAGACCTGTCACAGGCAGTGGAAAACTCTTCCCCTGTTTTCCAGAACATGATCTACCACATGGCCAGGAGATTGACCTTGGGGTTCCCCAATGCTAACAGCATGGGGAGGGCAGCTGGAACACAGTAGTGCTGTGTGTGGCTGCGTGCAGGCACGCAGTTTGGAACCATCCCAGTCTCCTGCCTGCTCTAGTGAGTTGGAACAGGTTGTGAGGAAGGTGGTGGAATTACAAAGGGGTTCTTCTGAAGAATGGCAAGTCTGCCTTACAGCTAATGGAGGGTTTCAGGAGTGACTAAATCCTTCCTGCATATCTCTGTTCTCCTCTGCTCTCCCAGCTGAACAAGGCGTTCCAGGCAGAGGAGTCTCCAAGTGTCATCTACTGTATCAGCATGCAGTGGTTCCGTGAGTGGGAAGCCTTTGTCAAGGGGAAGGATAACGGTAAGAAGACAGAGACCTCTCAAGTCTGTCGGGTGAGAGGTAGAAAGGAAACAAGCATGTTTGCTGGGTGCACCTCTGCAGTGAGCACTGCACCTGCCTGATGGGAGTTCAGACACCCACCACTCAGACTGCCTGCAGGTCCTCGAGGGCAGGGCAGCAACAAGAGAATTAGCTCAGGAAATGAGCTTAAGCTGAATCTGGTGGCAACATGGAGAGCAGAATGGTTTTTGATATATTTGCTCTCCTCTTACAGAGCCTCCCGGGCCCATCGACAACAGCAAGATTGCCCTCACAAAAGCAGGCGGCCACGTGCAAGTTAAGCAGGGTAAGACTTGTGCTTGCTGTCGTGTAGTGCTCCTAGAAGGTGCAGGAGAATGTTCCACTGGATCTGTCTGTCCATAGTGAGGTGGTCACAGAGCAGAATGGTGTTGCAGAGGATGACAGTTCTGCACTGATTGCCTTGCGTGAGCCACTCAGTTCTCTGTTGGCACCTCCTGCATGACCACCTTGCTGGTGTGACATCCTCATGTTGTGGTGCACCAACCTGTCCCTCCAGCAGCTGCACATCTCATTATTGCTGTTGTCCCTTTCAGGTGCTGATTATGGGCAGATTTCAGAGGAGACATGGATTTATTTAAGCACACTGTATGGAGGAGGCCCAGAGATTGCTATCAGACAGAACGTGGCCCAGGTCCAAGAACTGGAAAACCTACATGGAGAGCAGAAGATAGAAGCGGAGACGCGAGCTGTGTGATCTGTGCGGGATGGGCAGGGAAGGTATGGCACAGAGACGTCCGTGTGGGGATGGAAGGCTGGGGAATCCCGAGGAGTCAAACCTCTTCCCTTGTCTGGTACTCAAAGGTGTGAGCAGCTCCCACCACCACTCCTGGGGAAGGCAGGTTTTCTGCACTGTCCCTTATGTGGCTTTGAATATAGGGGTGGTGCTGGGCAAGACTGGGAGAAAAATGAGCTTCTCTGCAATGCATCTCCAGATGACACTGTGGTAGGAGACTGCAGCACAGCCAGACTTCACTAGGACACGTTTTGACCTGAGCCCTCTCCCTTTTGTTTGCTTACAAGAAACCAGCACTCCCAGCTTGCCCCCAGTGAGCTGAGTCTCTGCTCCTTTGCAGGTTTTGCTTTTGGCACTTTTCTTTTTAACTCAAATGTATAAAGATAATGAAATGTTATTTATGTTTCCAGAGGGCAGAGTTGCAACTAGAGAAACCTGGTACTTGAAGCTGACTAAAGCCACAAGGTCTCCTGGTAGTTTTGTGCTGGTGGTGCACAGCTGTCACAACTTCCTGGTTTTGCTTTTCATCCAATTCTTGCAAATTCAGTTGCAACCAACCAAGAAATTTTGAAAGAGGCAGTTTCTTCTTCCCCTAGCACCACACCTTCATGGGCCTGCAGATGATTTTTTTTTCTCCTTATATCTGATTTCATGTGTCCAGCACATTTTCAGAGAACAAGGCTGGAAGATGAGTCCTCCTTCCCAACAGCTTCCCACTGTACTCTGTCTGCTAAAGCTCCTGGCACCTCTGTAGCTATGGGCTGGTTCGCTCCCAGGGGTGGTGCATGAGCAGCTTCAACTCAGCACCATTAGTGGGATGCAGGGGAGCTGCCACACAGACTTCAGAGCTCTTGGTTCATAACCCCGTCTCAGACTGACCCTGCTGTAAGCCCAGCTCTGCCTCCACATCTGCCCTGAGAAGCAAAGGGCACGTGAAGGAGGAGGAGGAGCCCGTTTGTTCCCACAGAGCCTGTTCGGACGGGTCACCCTGGGACAGGGCCCTCAGTCAGTGCTGGGGAAGGGGCCTGGCTGACCAGGCCCCAGGCTGTTGAAGCAGCTTTTTAGGAACAAGCTGCTTTATTGCAAGCAAGCCCCTACCTGTGTGCTGAGGTCATGCCAGCTTCTCAACACAGATGTTGTTTGTGTACACAGTGGTTCATTTAATGAACAGAAATAACTTGCTCCCCAGTCTACTGCTGCTAACACAGCCATGGAGCAACCGAGAGCAGGCGGTGGAGAGAAGAAGGAAGACAAAAAAGGTTAAACACCAATTTTCTCAGCAGGGCTATTCTTAAGTTCTTTGCTCATTTCAGAAGCCAGAAGGGCAATAGTGAAATCTTTGCAAGTGTTTCATTGCAATCTGCTGGAAGCAGAGCAAGGCAGAGATGGCCTCTCATGGGCTGAGGAACCAAACTGTGTGTTCATGGTGCTGGAACCTGAGTGAGTCCACAGCATCAAGTCTGGCCTTGGTGGTACTAGGCTCAGCATGGGGCTGGGACCTCCTGAGCTCCTCCTGTGAAAGAGAGGGAGGAAGTGGGGGAAAGGCTGCTCTTTGACTTAGAAAGTGGGAAAGGGGTAGGACAGGAATATTTGGAAAGAAAAATGTGGCCTTCAGATTTATTTTTTTTTTTTAGACCAAAAGTTTGCTGCAAACAGCAACTTCTTCCTTAGCAAAGTGTCTGTAAATGGTTCAACATGTTAATTTGATCCTGTTTAGTGGATGCTTGTATAGACCCAGCCAGGCCTGAGGGGAGGTCAGAGAATGAGCCACTGTTGGGATTTCTCATTGTTTTAAGCTTTGTTATCCAGCGCAGCCCCCTTGGAGGCTGCAGCAGAGCCCGTAGGGCTGCATGTCCGTGTTGTCCGTGACGTTCCCAGGATGCTGTACAGATTGTAGTAACACTCCTGTGCTTAAGTGTTAGACTTTCTGCTTACAATGTCTTACAATAAAAATATGTGCATTCAACAAGTTGCATGATTGCTGCCTGCCTTGTGGGGCCAGAGGGTGTGACAGCTTCCAGGGAGCTTATGCTGTTAATGAAGAAAAATAATAATAATAATAATAATAATAAAAACATTTTTAAAAAATGCAACTTTCTGCTGGAAAGAGGCCTTGCAGTAACAGATCCTCCTGAGCAGCAGGGAGCTGCAGCAGCCACACTGTGCTCACTCGGAGGAGGGCGCCTGCTCCTTTCAGTCTCTGCTTACAGACACTTCCTCTTCATGTTTCATTTACCCAATTTCAGCCGAGTTTGGCTCAGAAAAGCTGTGGTGTGTGGCAGCACGTGCTATTCATGGCCATTGCCGCTACAAAAGTATCTCACCAGGGAAGTAGGGGAAGTCTCATTGAGCTGTTGTAGGTTTCTAAAGAGTTTCATCCATCTCTTAGTGGCTAAAGCGTCCTTACGGATATAATCCACTTCCCTGGTAACACTTACGTGAGAGCAGCTTTGCTGCCTCGGCCCCAGGAAACTCTGGGCTCTTGCCAGCACCTGACCACGTTCTGCCACTGTGAATTAATAGAGTTGCTAAGCCAGGCAGGTGATTCCAATGCTGCCCGCGGCGCTGGCGGACAAGAGCTGTTCTCTGCCAGAGTGGTGAATGACACCGTGTTAGCTGGAGCCTGAAATAGCTGAAGAAACAAGAGCTCGAGCTGGGTTCCTACATGCAGCTTGTTCATTAGCAACTTGAAATCAACTGCCAAAACTTGCATCTCACAAACAAACCCGTCACCTCAGCAACTGCAGAACAGCTCAAGACCTTCCAGGAGACATGAAGAATGCGCTCCCCTAGGGAGGGGATTGTACCCTGGCTGGACAAACAGCTCCAGTGCTGCTCTGGCAAACCCATAATTGTCCTTATCCTCTGTCCATTAAAACACTCAAAGCTTAGTTCTGCATCTGTTTCATGTGAAATCTGACTGCAGCCTTGCTTTTCTCTGACTCCTGCAGTAGGGGACATGCTGTGACATTCTGAGCACGTGTCTCAGACACTGCAAGCTTTAGGAGCCCTTGCCAATGTAAGCTGAATTTCATAGCTCAACTCTTTACCACTTCTTCATTTTCTCCCTATTTTATCAAGTCCCTTCCTGATTGCAAGAAAGGGGAGATGAAAGAACTGCTCATGCATTGGACTGGTGAGTTCACCTCACTATCTCGATTATCTGCCCCCTCCCTCCAGTTTTCTGGGAGTACCAGGGGGTTCAGTTTACACACACTGCTCCTCTTCCATTGACTCCTTTCATGGACAGACTGTGGCCTCACGGACAGACAGATCACCTAGACACAGCTGAGCTGTGACACACAGACAAGTCCTCTGCCCTGTCTGCCCCACACTCTCACTGTATGATACACGTGTCATGTCTCAGCCCAGGGACAGGGGAATTGGCCCTTCCGGTGGTGACACAGGGCCCAGGTCCTGCACACGCACCCACAGCTTCACCTCCACCAGCACTCGCTTACATGGCCACAGCCTCGCTGTGTCCCACAGGTGCCAGTGGCCCATCTCTGCCCACCTGAGTGGCCAGAGCCCACAGCATCCCCTACGCTGGTGACATGTTCAGTGACACAGCCAGCATACATAAAGCTACTTTATTTCCCCCCCACCACCAGTTACTGCTCAGCTTGGCTGCAGTTTCCAGCCTTCACTCACTCATTTGGTTGTGCTGTTTCTATTTAAGGTTAGCAATGCTGATACTGCGTAAAATACATCTCAGTTAGTGCCAGACAGACACCCCCTCCTATCCCTTGTTTCCCCAAAATGCAAAGACTGGCAGACTGTTCCATAAACAGTACTGGTTTGTGCTGAACTGACAGGGATGTTAATTGGTGCTGGCAAACAACAACTGAAATTCTGTTTAAAAAAAAAAAATATATATAGCAAACTGACCTTAGACAAAAATCTCTCTATAGCTGCTTCAAATGAAATTATCAGCCAGGTGTCACCTCCTATGAGCTGTACAACTGCCAATCCTCATGGCTCCTAGAGGAGGCTGTCTCCAGTGAACTGCACTAACAGGTGATGGGGAAGCTGTCCAGAAGCTAGTCGGGGGTTTTGTCTCAGCTTGAGACACACACACTATTCACCGACCCTGCAAATTAAGATGGAATTGTCAATATCCTCACCCAGACTTACAGAAATGCATCTGGTTTTCAGATTATTCAGTGAAGGGAACCACTGTGGTATTCCATACATCTGCATGTCCATGCAGGCATGCACAAAGGCATTACTTGCTGGGCTTGCAACAGGTTTAGTTTTAATGTACATTCAGAATGAAAAATATCTGCCAAGACTTCCAGTTAAACCAGTGCCTTTCACTGGGGGCATTACAGCTCTGTTAGAGGAAATATTTTCCCTCAGCTTCCAGCTCTCATGGCCTCCTCCTGAAGTGGGAAAGAGCAAGATCCACCTGTCCCTCCCAAGGACACCAACAACTCTGACCACAACAGTGCATTTTTTCCTTCTCCTCAAATAACCAAATTAAAAAAAAAAACCAACCAACCAAACAAAAAACCCCAACAAAACTCAAACAAACAAACAAAAACCCCTAAAAACCCCCCAAACCAATCACTTCATTCTCTCCTCAGTGCCAGTTGGAAAGGTGAGTCTTGATAAAATTGTGTCTCAAAGTGACCTGATGGGGAGTGGCTATTGGGACAGTCACTCAAAGGTACAGGCAGAGCCAAGTCAGTACTTCAAATACCTGAAAATTCCAGTATGAAATAATTTGAAATAAAAAACAGAAGAAAAAACCAAATACCATGAGTAAGAACATGTCATCACACATCAGCAGACACAAGCACCCCAATGGAACACAAGGTTTCTGCTTATTCATTGTAAATTTTGCAGCTGGAAGCAAAACCCAAATCCATCCCATAGTCAAGGAGAATAACAAGGAGTAAAGAGAGCAGCTTAGAGGAGTTTTGGGATATAAAATTGTATGTGGCTGAAACAGTTAAGTC